CATTAATATTCCACCGCTACACTCACATTCGCCTAAACTATCGTTTTGTTGTTTTTATAAAAAAATAAAAACCATTATAAACTAATGCAAAAGTCTGCTCTGCTCATCCAGCACGAGTTGCCGTTGCAATCAGTGCAGCACGAATCACAGTTCACTGATCGCGTGACGATGGCGGAGGATTCGTTGCGCAACAGACTAAACGTCTGGTAAATGTCTTATCATTTAGAATGCGCGCTCAGCACCGCTGCTCCCTATACGCGCGGTCACGAATTTGTAAGTGAAAGTAAAACACAAGCTCCCTGATGTGCATTGCGCACAAATTAGGCTGCATACATAAAATAATCCGTCTCCCAATACCCATCTCTGGACTGTTTATTTGCGGCTCTGGTCTCTGTTGGCACTGCGAATATTGAGAGAGTACTGTAACGTACAAAGGACAACAGACAAGGGAGGCTCCGTTTCTGAACTTATAATCGGAACGCAAGAACAACTGTAGAGACAAACAGCCTCGTTTCTCTCGGCCTTTTCCGAACTCACCGCATTAACCCTATAACTGCCGGTGCAAAATAAAACCGCAATTTCACAACAATTATAAAGAGTCTGTGTGCTAACTTTGATTATGGTTGCACTCGCACTTATTGTTTGCACTTAATAAGACTAAGAGAAAACAGTTATTTATTTTTGTTATTTATACGGTTTTTATTTCTCTGTTAAATGTGTGTTAAAAGGAGTTCAGTTAGGAGGTCACACACAGCCTCAATCAGAAGTTCTGAAAGCTCTTAAATGTACAGTAAGGTCTGAAGAGACTAATGTGAAATTATACAGGAGAAAAGCCAGTCAATAAAAACCTTTTACAGTGCTTGAATATTGTTTTCTTTCAATGCATTTGATAATTCATACTCATAAAGTAGACCTGAAATGACATGCATTAGAAGATTATTAGTTAAAACATTGAAAAATGCACCTGCATACTATTTTTCCAGCCATGAATTTTGTCATTGAGGATTTCTGAAAAATTGTGCAAAAATCTCGTCTCGTCTCGTTCTCGTGAACCCAATCTCGTGTCTAGTCTCGTCTCGTGAGATAAGCGTCTCGTCACACCCCTAATATATATATATATATATATATATATATATATATATATATGCATATATATATATATATATATATATATATACATATATACACTCACCGGCCACTTTATTAGGTACACCTGTCCAACTGCTCGTTAACACTTAATTTCTAAGCAGCCAATCACATGGCGGCAACTCAGTGCATTCAGGCATGTAGACATGGTCAAGACAATCTCCTGCAGTTCAAACCGAGCATCAGTATGGGGAAGAAAGGTGATTTGAGTGACTTTGAACGTGGCATGATTGTTGGTGCCAGAAGGGCTGGTCTGAGTATTTCAGAAACTGCTAATCTACTGGGATTTTCACGCACAACCATCTCTAGGGTTTACAGAGAATGGTCCGAAAAAGAAAAAACATCCAGTGAGCGGCAGTTCTGTGGGCGGAAATGCCTTGTTGATGCCAGAGGTCAGAGGAGAATGGCCAGACTGGTTCGAGCTGATAGAAGGGCAACAGTGACTGAAATAACCACTCGTTACAACCGAGGTATGCAGCAAAGCATTTGTGAAGCCACAACACGCACAACCTTGAGGCGGATGGGCTACAACAGCAGAAGACTCCACCGGGTACCACTCATCTCCACTACAAATAGGAAAAAGAGGCTACAATTTGCAAGAGCTCACCAAAATTGAACAGTTGAAGACTGGAAAAATGTTGCCTGGTCTGATGAGTCTCGATTTCTGTTGAGACATTCAGATGTTAGAGTCAGAATTTGGCGTAAACAGAATGAGAACATGGAACCATCATGCCTTGTTACCACTGTGCAGGCTGGTGGTGGTGGTGTAATGGTGTGGGGGATGTTTTCCTGGCACACTTTAGGCCCCTTAGTGCCAATTGGGCATCGTTTAAATGCCACGGCCTACCTGAGCATTGTTTCTGACCATGTCCATCCCTTTATGGCCACCATGTACCCATCCTCTGATGGCTACTTCCACCATGTCACAAAGCTCTAATCATTTCAAATTGGTTTCTTGAACATGACAATGAGTTCACTGTACTAAAATGGCCTCCACAGTCACCAGATCTCAACCCAATAGAGCATCTTTGGGATGTGGTGGAACGGGAGATTCGCATCATGGATGTGCAGCCGACAAATCTGCGGCAACTGTGTGATGCCATCATGTCAATATGGACCAAACTCCCTGAGGAATGCTTCCAGCACCTTGTTGAATCTATGCCACGAAGAATTGAGGCAGTTCTGAAGGCAAAAGGGGGTCCAACCCGTTACTAGCATGGGGTACCTAATAAAGTGGCCGGTGAGTGTATATATAGTATATACAGTGGGTATAGAAAAGAATCACCCCCCTTTAAAATAATCACATTTTGTTGCTTTGCAGCCTGAAATGAAAACGGACAAAAATAATTTTTGTTTTATTCAGCTGTATTTACAACTTATAACATCCAAGTGAAAGATATAATACCAACTTGTCAGATTTTTTTTTTTTTACAAATTAAAAAACAGAATCACTGAGTTGGAAAAAGAATCACCCCCCTCCTAAAAATGACTTGTAAACCCAACCAGGTGTAGTTAATCACCTTCTCAATAGCACACAAAGCCAATTGACTTTCAAATGTGATCAGCTGTGGTCATTTTGATTAGCTCAGCATGAAACAAGCTTTTCCTGAAGCATTTCAGTCCTTGGTAGTGCAACTGAAGAAAACAATCAACTATGGGTGGCAAGGCATTGTCAAAAGATCTCCGGGATAAAGTTGTGGACAGGCACAAGTCAGGAGATGGATACAAAAAAATTTCAAAGGCTTTATCAGTGCCTAGAAGCACAGTGAAGTCTATTATTAAGAAGTGGAAGGTATTTGGTACAACACAGACCCTCCCTGGGTCAGGACGTCGCTCCAAACTGGATGAAAGAGCCAGGAGGAAACTGGTCAGAGAGGCTACCAAGAGGCCTACAGCAACTCTGAAGCAGTTGCAGGAATTCATGACAAAGAGTGGTCATTGTGTGCATGTGACAAAAATATCACAAATTCTCCACAAATGTGGCTTGTATGGTAGGGTTGCAAGAAAAAAGCCACTCCTCAAGAAAGGCCACATGCAGTCACGACTGAGCTTTGCCAAAACACACCTTGAAGATTCTAAGGCCACGTGGAAAAAGGTGTTATGGTCAGATGAGACTAAAATTGAATTATTTGGCCTCAACGCCAAACGATATGTCTGGCGAAAATCCAATACAGGCTCACCATCCAAATAACACCATTCCTACAGTAAAGCATGGAGGTGGTAATATCATGTTATGGGGTTGTTTCTCTGCAGCAGGGACTGGAGCACTAGTTAGGATAGAAGGAAAAATGGATGGGGCAAAATACCGTCAAATTCTTGAGGAAAATCTGCTGCTCTCTGCCAGAAAGTTGTCAATGGGAAGAAGATTTACCTTCCGACATGACAATGACCCAAAGCACACAGCAAAACTGACCACACAGTGGTTGAAGGAGAAAAAGGTGAATGTCCTTGCATGGCCTAGTCAGAGCCCAGACTTAAACCGCATTGAAAATCTGTGGAATGACTTGAAGACAGCAGTCCACAAACGGTCACCATCAAATTTAACTGAACTTGAGCAGTTCTGCAAAGAAGAGTGGTCAAATATTGCAACGTCTAGATGTGCAAAGTTAGTAGAGACATATCCCAACAGACTAAAGGCTGTAATTAAAGCAAAAGATGGTTCAACAAAATACTGAAACAAGGGGGTGATCCTTTTTCCAACTCAGTGATTATGTTTTTTGATTTTTTGAATTGTTTCTGATATGTTGGTGTTATATCTTTCACTTGGATGTTATAAGTTGCACTGAGTAAATACAGCTGAATGAAACAAAAACTGTGTCTGTCTTAATTTTAGGCTGCAAAGCAACAAAATGTGATTATTTCAAAGGGGGGTGATTCTTTTCTATACCCACTGTATATAGTGTCATTTAAATGATATGATATGATGCCTGAAACAACCAGTTCTGGCACCACAGCTGACAATTATTATTGTTTTTTACCTTACAATACAAATATATACTTTTTTTACAGAGTACCACATTTACTATTTATTATTTTAATATTCCTGTATTGAAATTTTTGCAGAAATGGTTGTAATAGTAATGCTGATGAAAAACTGACTGAACAATGTTTCTTCTATTCTTTTGACCTAATTTTGCATGATAATCTGGTCATTTCCCCTTATTTCATTTTGATCAAAAATTAAGGAATGATGCATTAAATTGACCAAACGTGGCATTTCCTCTTAAAACTCCCTCATTATGTAATCTTTTAGAATGTGCCAGTGCCATGTTTTGTTAAAAATACATTCTAAAAATGTAACATATTCAGTTATACTTTAAGGAGCTACAATATTTATGCCTGATCTGGCCCCTTTAAATCACATTCAATAACCTAATGAAGCTAGAGTAGTTCAGTCATATTATATAATAATTTGATGAAACACATCTGAATATGATCATGTAATGAAAGTGAAGAACAACACAAAGCATTATTGTGATGGTTGTAACTTTATTCATTATATGAACATCATGTACCTCATACATTTCCATCTTAATAAATGATCTTATATTCAGTGTTAATATTACAATGATTATATCTAAGACTTTAATAATAAACTCAAAATTGTAAAGTAGTTCTAGCAAAGTATTTTTGTTCTAATATTTCAATCAAATCAGTTTTTTTAAAGAGCCATATCAGGAAAAGTGTTCATGCATTTATACGTGCAATGTACAACACATGTGTGTCATATAAATCATATTTCTTGTTTGAGTATTGTTCAGAAGTGGCACGTTTGTTCAGAAGAACCAAGTTTGTGAGACCACAGCTCATTAGAACTAATAATATAACAAGAAGACAATGAAAAAAGTAAAGAATTGAAGATGCAAATGTCAGTTTATTTTCACAAGGCAATAGGAAATAAATACGTCAATAACAATAAATAAATAACATTAAATAATTATCTACAGCAAATAGTTCTTCATATAACACATAAAATGATCAATTTGAGATTCAAGTATTTCTGCGAGCGGCAGCGTTCAGCAACACAAATGTTCATTGTGACACTCTCATTAGTTTAAACATATAACAGGTCTACTTGTGAGGCTATGTAAATCTATACACTTCAAGTGAAACATTTTCAAGTAAATCTAAATGAGCCATTCAAGTTTCATTCCATAATAAGTTTGTTCGTCATTCAAGTCCATCGAATGTCTTCTCAGATTGTGTTTTTCACCACGCTGTGAGGTCCAGCTGGACCAGATGAGTTCTCCAGGCACCACTAGGAACCACAGGAGCCTATTTCTCTTCTCAAAGAATGTTCAAAGTCTTTGACTTGTCTTGGTTAGTCCACAAACTTGATTCTGAGTTCATTCAGTTCTCTGTGCCGAGTCTATGATACACAGGGTAGAGAAGGGCCACGACGTATCCATTCCTCCGGCTCTGCTGGTAAAGAGTGGTGAAGTCTTCCTCCAAGCTTGAGCTTGGGCATGTAGTGTTCAGGAGCCAAGTGCTCTCCTTCTTCTCCTCTTCCTCGCTGCAGGACTGGCTGACGTCTTCAGGGAACTTGCCCATCATCTGTCTGGCTTGCTCCTCAGCAGACTGGAAAGGGAGGACATTGTACGCGGTGGCATCGGTGAAGGTTGGTGCTTCACTCTGCATCGTCTCAACGGATCCCTCCTCCGTGTAGATCTGCAGGAACACCACCAGGCACAGGACGAGCAGCCAGCGCTTGGCTGGGCTCTTCTCGGCCGGTGGCAGATATTTGCGCACTTTGGAGGGGTACATGACGCGGGTGTTTTTCTTGCGCGGGCGTTGCGGAGCTCCGCGGGGATTGAACGCGTGCCGCTGCGGCTCCGGGATCCGCTCGAAAGTGAAGATCTCCGGCTCGGTGTTGCGCGGCTCCATCGGTCTGAAGCCGAACTGTTGCTGCGGCTGGAAGAAAGCGTTTGTCGGTAATGAGAGGACCATGCTGTCTGATCTGGAGAACATTGCTAGTTCAGGTCAGTTCCAGTAGGCTAGGCTATATTCGTTGCTTGCTCTGTGTCTCTGGTTCTCAAAAGTGACTTCTCTAACTTCAGCGTGAGGTTTTATACTGTATATTCTGCTTTTAAGAGACGCCCATAGAAATGGCCACACCCTTCACTCGAGACGGAAAATACATTTTGACTAAAAAAATCCCACGTTTAACCTTAAGATGAGCTCCACAGATGACAGCAGCTAATACTCGAGGGAGCCAAGTATGCTTGACCTCGGATAGTTCAGTAAAAAAAGATGATATAAAAAACAGACAAGATACCATTTTCAAAGTGTAGCCTATTCTAAATTTAAATCAAAAATCATAAAACAAAAAAATATTTATTTATTTAATTATTTAGCTATTTAAAACCGTAGCCTATTCTTTAAATGTGTGAGTTAGCTTATACATCAATGAGTATAGCCTAAACTGGACTTTGAATACCGGTACGTTGTTTATTTATTAACTCAGTTAAACTATGGAATGTTGAGGTGTGCTACATTTCGGCCTAATCTTTCATTTGACACCATGCTCAGACAAACCAGTTTTTCTAAAATGGATTTAAGTAGGATATCTAAATCTACGTGATTTTAAAATAATTACTTTTTTGTAATGTTCTCTCGACATAAATGGGAAAATGGTTACCTCAGGTTATCAACACTTTTGCTTGCTAGCCTATTTATTTATTGAGTGAAAAATCCCATTGCACTTCTAATCGAAACTTTATAGTTTCTGAGACGTTTAAAACCCCTAGTTGAACTCTATTGCCTTCCTGCATGAATAAATAGCCTTGGTATTTTTTAATTTAGGTTGCCTTACGTGGGTGGTGGGAGTGTGACTGTGGGGGGTGGGGGCTGGAGGGGGAGGGGTGCAATTTCTCTTCAAATGAAAGAATTGGGATAGGTGTATCCCATATAATATAGGCATATCCACAGATTTGATGTCATACACCAATGGTCTGCACAGCGCAGCTTCAAGTCAAACACACCTAATGGCAGCGAAGCGGCACAACTAAAGCTGGTTGGTTTCATGAAAGTGACAACATGGCGAATATTAATATTAACAACTGTGATGTCAAAATATGAATATCTCAATTGATTTATCTATTTAATTTTGGATTCATGTATTTAATTCAACTTAAAATAAATTAAATTTTATTTAATCATTACAGTTACCGGATTAATTAGTGTTTTTGCAGTTGTAGATGATAATTGTAATAATTTCTTGAATTTCTTGATGTATTTCCTTACATTCAGTATAACTGATATAAAAGCAGAATGTCCAAAAGCATATATATCTTTTTTTAATTGTCAACATATTCTAAAAAAAAAAAAAAAAAAAAACAGGCAGAAAGAAACAACTCATATGGTATTAATAACAGCGGCTTTTCACATAAACCTTATTATTACCGTATGAGTTGTCAGTCACTGTACAGCCATGTACAATGTAAATTTTTTTTTTCAAAGTTGTTAATAAAACAAAGTATGTTACAAGAAAATACAATTTTAGTCTTTCTGATTTAAAATTTCACTTTTAAATCGATTCTGTCATCATTTACTCACCCTTAAGTTATTCTAAACCTGTATGAGTTTCTTTCTTCTGTTGAACACAAAAGAAGATATTTTGAAGAATGTGGGGTTTCTCCCCTACTATGGAAGTCTTCGGGGACCAGCAACTGTTTGGTTACCGACATTCTTCAAAATATCTTCTTTTGTGAACAAAGAAATGTATACAGGTTTATAATAACATGAGGGGGAGTAAATGATGACAAAATGTTTATTTTTGGTTGAACTATCCCTTAAAGTCATTGTGTCACTTGCTGTTTCTTTGTAATTATTTGAGGAATTTAGCCGTTTCTGAGTGAAAATGGTTTCAAAGTAAATCTTACTACATTTATTTTCAATGTAGAATCACATTTATTGACTCAAGAATGCTGAAGCATGTATATATACCCACTTCCTCTGAAAATGAAATTTGGAAAATGATATTTGGTGGGAATATTCGCCACAACTTGAAGTAGGTGCATCATTTTACAGCAAGTTGTTTGATGTGATTATGAGTCAATGCTTCAACACTCAAAACTAATAGTTTGGCAAATCCCTTTTTTGATTAAACTTGCTTCGACTAATTTCTGATATACACTATTGAGTCTCATTTCCGACGCACCTATTACGGCAGTGACACATTGTTGGATTTTAAGCACGTATACTGGCAGCATTTAGTCTAGAACTTGCCTTCCATTTGGGATCTCAGGAAAACCGAGCCAGCCTAAAGTCCAGACAAACAGTTTTTATTTTTATTTTATTTTTTACTTGCAGCTGATGGCTAGTTGGTTGCTATACGGGTCACTTGAGGTGCACTACAACATCTAAATGGCGTGAACTTTTAGGAGGAATCCTTGTGGAAGAGGTTGTGACCACAAATGGACTAATTCCCCCGTGTGTCTGTCACCAGCTTCTTTGTGATATGAACGAGCGCTTCCGTCCAATCAGACGGCAGCACCTTCATTTCTCACCCTCTGTGGTTTCTGGGTTTTCTCGGTGAGCACGAGCGGTGGAATGTCTGCTGCGGGTGAAGCCTCAGGTCTGGAATCCCTGCCTCAGGCCTGGCATGTTTACTTTAGGAAGGGCCGCATGGGCTTTGCGTCACCTTACTAAAATTAACGCTCAAGCACACACAGGTATAAGAGTGAATGCTCTCGTGGGTGGGAATTTTGAGCAGTATGACTTATGGTTTCAGTGCTGTGGAGCAATGCAGCTTGGTATGTGGTGACATTAACATTGTACTTGCTTCTTCAAGCTAAACGTGTCTGATCTTAAAACATGCATTTCGTTATTAAAGTAGATTAATTGCAGTTGGAATTCTGTTATCGCTAAACAGGAGGTCAACAGCATCACGGCTGCATCAGTCATTGAACTCATCTGGAGCTCTCATGGATGGAGTTTACAGAATCTACAGTCTCATATTTTTATACGCATTTTTTTTTGCTGTCGTATTGATATAGTTTACACTTTTTTAGCAAGTAAAAGGCCTACAATGTCCCCCTTCAGGTCATGGTTCACGTGTCTTTTTTGCTGTGAAATTTTTATGCATTTTTAAAGTAATATTTTTTTTACGGTTAGTAATATGGACACTTACTGTAATGAGGCACTTAGATTTACTTGATTAACCATGCTAAAATATGAAGTATTTTTGAAGAACATTTATTTCGTCCTCTCTCAATCATCATTGTTTTGCTTCCCACAGTAAGAGCTTTGATCATAAAACTAAGCATTTAAATATCATCTTAATAAGATATATTATTGGGAGATAAAGAGTGACAACTGATATTTATGTGCATTTTATCAATGTAGCCTAAATAGTCTATTATAAAGATTTTAGAGTATTTGGGCCTCTGAATAAAACTAAGGTGTTTTTTCTACCTCGAGTCTGAGCTTCATAAATCTGAGCCACAAAAGCCTGATGTATCAAATATGATACTCAACAAAAACACACATGCAAACTTTCATATGTCAGGCTTTAAAAGGGTTAACGGTCTGACTGTAGAGTGTAGATTCTCAGTAATAGAAGGGAACAGTTCTCATGACCATGTTTGACTGAGCTTGTATTTTTGCAATGGCAACAGATGCAACTTGACAGGCAGAACAGCGTGCTTCAGAGTTCTTGGTTTGTTAGCGAGATGTGGGTCATTGTTCTCAGATAATTCTCATTATAGTGTTTCATTCATGCCAAGTATCTACGTGCTGATTATCATGACAGATTAACGTCATTTAACTGCAGTGCCGCTCATTAAAGACAGGGGGCGGATGGTTTCCCTTTCATCCACAGTCAGTACTTGTATTTACAGTGTACCTCAACTATATTTGACATTTAGTCTATAAGACTTTTACAGATTTGGCAGAGGATTTTATGCAAGCAGATTTAAAGGGTTAGTTCACCCACAAATTAAAATTACCCCATGATTTACTCACCGTCAAGTCATCCCAGGTGTATGACATTCTTCTTTCAGACGAATACAATCAGAGTTTTTTTTTTTTTTTAAAGTCCTGGCTCTTCCGAGCTTTTTAATGGCAGTGAATGGCCTTTTCTGTTTTGAAGTCCATAAAAGTGCATCTATCCATCATAAAAGTGCATCTATCCATCATAAAAGTGCATCTATCCATCATAAAAGTGCATCTATCCATCATAAAAGTGCTCCACACGGCTCCGGGGGGTTAATAAAGGCCTTCTGAAGCGAAGCTATGCGTTTGTGTAAAAAAAAAAAAATCATATTTAACAGGTTACAAAGTAAAATTCTTGCTTCCGACCAAACGGCCATATGGATTCCACTTAAGTCTAAAGTGCAACTCACGCAATTTGTGACGTCGGAAGTAGCGAGTGCGTCATGACGTAGCGTACACTCCTGGACAAAATCTTAAGACCGGGGGAAACATTACCAGTATTCGCATTTCGCGCTGGTGGATCGTTAACGGGTTGTAAGTACTGCTTCAAAATGCCAAAAGAAGAAACAGGAGCAAGAGACAAAAAATATAGAGTAGGCAATTTATTGAAAACTGCATTTAAACCAAAACAGGCTGTTCATCAGATGATCAAAAGTTTAAGACCATAGCCTTAAAGGTGCATTGCGCAAGTCTCTGAGTTTTTGAAGAACTATGCCCCCTCTGGCGACAAGCGAAACTGCAACCAGAGGTGTGCACGCTCATGGACCACACGCACACGCACGCTTGCACGAGCTGTACAAATCTTTTGTTTACAGTCATAATGTCTTCAGAGGTAATGAAGTTATAAATCTGCAAGTCATTTAAAATATATGAAAGGAAAGGCATTTGAGTAAATTACACACTTATGTGTGAGGGGAAAACGGGGGTAGTAGAAAACTTCGGTTTTTGTTTCCATCTATCTCCATGTTGAACTGTTTTTATGTGTTTACTGTATCCACTTATGATTGTATTATTATGGAAACACGTTCATGAACAATATAAGTTATTACTTTGTAAAAGCCAACTGAGGATCCCGTTTG